GCGCGATGAGTTTCACTGATTGTTTGTTGCTTCATTTAATTAATTGTGTGAGGGCTGAGATACTGCCCGGGCGCCCAGACCGAAGCAGGTGGTTTTCTTAAGGGACCACCCCCCGAGCCTTTGACTTGGAGTCTAATCCGCAAGGCAGCGGAGCAGCGTCAGGTGCTGCGTTCTCATGGTTGTCAAAAGACAAAGTCTGGTCTGTGACTGTGTATTGTAGTACAACAACTTCGACAAACTACGACGACGACAAAGAAACTTATTTAGGAAATGGTATTTAACCATTTTTCAACCAATACAGACAGCTAACAGTATTTGAAATAATTGGTCGTAATAGTCAATAACAAAATGCGTGGGAAATGATGATATACCACTTATGCGAGATTAACAGTCGTTAAGATAATTGAACAATAACAAAGTGTGTGGGATCCTATCATTCGATGACGAGCTGACATCAGTAAGAAAGCCAATAGAAAAAAAACCGGATTACTGAACAGTTGTTTCTTGCTAGTTTGGGACTTTTCAGTAGTACAACAACTGGAGTATACTGTTCACAGTCACTCGGACGGAATCCAGTGGCACATAAATTCTAGCTCTTGTCAGTTCGAGATAGAGAGTACAACCGCCAGTCAGTATCATCGACAAGTAATTTATCTGTTACCTGACTTGGTGGACCTAAATGGTCATGAATTCTCACCAGAAGTCCAGGTAGCCAGTCTCCAGAAATTATCAGATTAATTTTCAGGTGTTGGTTTGCTGGGATTTAATTTGATTGGGTTCCAGTGGCTGAATGGTCTAGAAGCACACCTTGTGACCAGAAGGTGTTGGGTTTGAACCCCGTAAGTGTTACTATGAAGAGTCCCAAACTAGGACGAATTAGCTGTCCACTATTTCCTGGGTTTCAGCGGATCTCTAGATGATGTTAGTCCGTTATCCAACTCAAAACCAATCCCCACAAACTAACACTTGAAAATAATGCGAGACTGTAAAGGTCATAATCGAAAAAAAAACGTGACACGTGTGTTGTGAATATCTTGTTTAAATTTATCAAAGAGACTAAGTGTTTCAATGAATATATTCTATTGAAACGGATCGTGTCACAGCTCAAATAAACAGATTGATTATGATGACAAAATCTAATTCGTCGAGAATTTATTAAGTCCGACTAGTCGAAGTAAAAGGCAGTTGGAGTTTTACTGGGTACGGCCTAACCGTTGTGGTATTTTAATAAATGCAGACACAAAATGAATTAAAATTGGTCACCAGAATTAAGAAGGAAACTATGAATAAATGTACTAAACAAACGAATAGTTTTCAGTTGTCATAAATTTAATTTCTATAGTGTCTTTAAACCCTTATATGAAACAGGTCTGGGTCATTTACTTAAACTTGTTGAACCCTTAGCCATAAAAAGGCTCAAATCTGTTTTATGTTTTAAAAAATTATTTGTCATTACTTTGAATTTGCCTTGGTAATTCAATTTTAAAACCAAAGTTTACTGAGTAATATTTTCACTCCCCTCCTTTTTTTCTTACTTTATTTTCCTACTTCTTATCTGTGGTTGTACCCTGTAAACATTTTGGCTTAGGTCGAAGCAATTTCAGTCCTTTACTCTCTGTCGCCTTTTATATAAATATGTATGACAATTACATATGCGACCGCAATGCCTGAAATGTGTTGCACAAATACACATTACACGTTTCGGATAAACTATGTCTCGTTATTGTTTTATCAGAATCTTTTGATTGCACTGAAGATATAAGCTCGTGCGACAAACTTTATCGATACAACTAAATCACTACTAAGGACTGATAGCGTCACATTGGTATCTTTCTGACCAACATTTATGATTGTCTAGCGGTGGCGCTAGGAGTTGCAAATTGACAGAAGTTATTATTCGCGAGATAGTCTGAATGGTCAACGGGCTCGCTTTATAACCTGAAGGCTCTGGGCTCGACCTCTGGTTTGGCTATGGGTGCATACTTCCGAGGAGTCCTAAAAGGCTGACGAAACAGCCGTCCAGTTCTCACTAATTTTCTGTGGTTCTTTCACTGGTACTGATCCGTGATCAGACTTGATACATTTAGTTAACACAAGCGATTTACAATGTCACACTGTGTACTGTTCGACCACCAATTGTTGTATCTATTACAGTGCTGCAGGACATCGGTGGTGGTCTGAATAGCTGAGTGATAGCAGGATTTGGTGATGCAGGCCCAGATTTCAGTATCATCAAGGTTACAAGTGCATCCTTTTGATAAATGCCACACGAAACTTGGGTCCAGGGCTTGCTGATGAATGCACCTAAACAAGCAATATTAAATCTTTGGCGTAGCTACACATCAAGTAATTTTTTTCACAAATTTCTCGTTTGATGTCATTATTTGTTAGTTTTTTGTCGATACAGGGGAAAAATTCCGAAATAATCTTTACAGAGATGCACTGTAAGCGTTCGGTTTACCTTTGGTGATGTCATTTACGAATAGGATGTTATCCCTGCAAAACCTTCCTTAGACTTATTGTTTCATATTTAACATACAAAATCGTTTGGTGGAATAAGAAAAGATGATTTGCATCTAAACAAAGAGTATGTAGGTAAATTTCTCAGGCCATGCAATAATGAATCTAACTCGAAACATGTTTTACCATCATATCTGTTATCGAGGTGGAAAACGTATAGATATTTCGCTGCTGCTGATAGAAGACTGGCAATAAATATTATTAGTGTGGTGTGTGCTACTGATTAGATTTATCAGTAATATATAAAGAGACGCTCATCGGTATAAAAACATCAAATAGCAGGGAGATAGATTCTATGATGCAGAGTTGCGGAGATACATGGGAGACGTGAAAGAAACACAAAAAAGCAAAATGAAGGCCAGAAGTAACACAATACGGAAGGTCTGTGCAAATGATGCGTTCAAGATAGGGTGTACATAATTGGGCTATATAGGGATAACAATTTCCAAATAAACATTCCTATACCGAGTCTATTGTCCTCTACCGTTACAGCAGAAGAACAGTTAGAAAAAACATCCTACGTGGAATGAGCAACTGGTGAACATCCACATTTGGTTGCTTTTAACATGTACAAGAAATCTAACTGTATCTCGTATGAATTTACAATACAGATGAATTTAAGTGGGATATTTTTCCTCGAGAAACTGTTGTTACCATTTTGTATCTTATAGGTAAAAATATTGGATTCAAACTCTCCACAGAAACAGGAAAATATGCCTTTTGAAAATCTAGACTACAAATGCGGCTGAACTGCTTATGATAATATGGAACTCTGTTAGAAGACCATTCTTTCCATGTACCAGTATTATTGTTGGCATTTCTCCTGTGTTTCATTGCTGTCTACAAAGTGAAAGACAAATTACCACATCCATTTGGTTCTACTATTACGTATACTTTTCTAAAGGAGCGTTTATAAACTGATTCAAATGTTATCAAAACTGATTATTCAGTTTCAAGGGGTTATTCTAATACATCTATTTATCAAATGAAAAGGAAATTTCATACAGATGATAATCAGCTGTCCCATTCAAATAAAATCAAAGTAATCATCGGTTTTAGGAGACAATTTACATCATATTTTTTTTCATCTGTTAACTTGTACCTGAGTATATCTACATTTGAAATATTGGAGAAGATTTGTTGCCCATGTAAATGGATATCCTTGTGGTTTCCTTTTATCCTTTGAGCTAGATAATTTAAGTTGCGAAGCTTTCACTATAACTCAATTTTAAACAGAACAGTAACCAAAAGATGTCTATATTTGATTATTTTTTCATAAAGTCAGTGAATATTATTAGTTCTTTTTTCTCATTCACATAACGAGGTAGACGTTTTATTTGTTAATCATTACTGAAAGTATGAGTATTGCATTACCTTTTGTTTTAATTGGGACACGGTCTGTTTAAATCATTGGGCTACCTAATTTTCCACAGATCAAGTTATACTCCGTTTTAACCACGTATTTACGTCCTTGAAGAACAATCTGTACTTATGTGCATTTTTGAATGGCTTTCCACACACCGTTTGGTTTGTTTTGAAGGCAAAAAAATGTTGGAGTTTCCAGTATATTGCGGATAGAATAATGATGATATAACGCGGATCATTTTACTGGAGGATTCTGTATAAGGGATAGAACCGAGGTGCAAACTCTGCACTGTATATGAACTTGAGGTTCAAAACAAAGCTATAATTATTATTATCTTCCTCTTCTCAAAAATGTTTCTCTTTATTTCATTATCTTTTCATATTTCTGTTGATTGTCCTTTTCAGTGCTGTTGTGGATTGTATTAACTTAAATAGATGTACCATTATTTACGATTTTGTACTGATCTCTTTGTTTAACCATCGAAAATGTAGAATTGGGTTGCGCTAAAACGCGATGAAAATATTCAATAAGAATTTAATTGAGCTGAAATGTACACATTTGCATACTGAACCATATGCCTATATATATTGTGTGAAAGCTGCTAAAAGTATATGACTGATAAAATTGCAGTAGGTAAATGGTTTTTTGAACCTGATTTCGCTAGTTTTCTTCCAACCGACTAGATTACCACCCTTGTATTTAAAGTACTATTAATAATAATAATAATAACCGGGATGATCGATTTCTGAGGTGAATGTTTTGAAAAGTTATTATTGAAAGGAAGACAGACTATGCGAAATTTGCCCAAAGACTACATTAGGCAAAGGGTAAACTATAGAGTTGAAACTGTCTGCAAGTAATGATTATGGGATAATCACTGTATCATGACCGATAAAATTTACAGTAGTACTCGTCCTTTAGTTCCATTTTCGAAAAATAAACTCATCAGAACAGCAACTTTTAGAGACACTATAAATAAATATTTAGATTCAAACATTATATCGTGCATACATAACATTGATATATGAAGGTCGGTTATAAAATTGTGTGGAAAGAACAGTATTTTAATAATCAGTTAATTGTCTTTGATTAGTTCGCCACCATTTAAAAGATAACGTAATTGATTCTCCTTGTTTATTTTCTTTAAATCAATCTGGAAATAAATTACTTCCTTCAAGTCGTTTAATTAATGTGTTCAATGTTAATGACTGTACTAGCGGTTCATTTGGATTAGTTTTAAATATCCATTCTAAAGTTGAATCAGCATCTAGAGATTGTACTGACTGGGTTGTAATAGTTTTTCCACTTTTTGGTTGTAGATTAAATGTTACAGCGGTAGATGGGGAGATAGTTTCAATTGCATTTTTTAACTCAGTTAGTGTTATACTGTTTTGTTGTACTTCATTTGACCTATAAAACCAAAAGGAAAAAGTCAAACAAATCTATCAAAGTGAATATTGAATTGTATAACCAGCTTGAAAATATTATTTTCATCATGGGTAGGGAGTGAGGTGTGAAACTAATTAGAATCTAAGCGTCTGTATAGTTGTCTCATCCTAATTCATCACATTGAGGTTGTGTTTATCCAATCGTACTTGAACCATAGGACACGGGATTACTGCTGCTACGATGAAAGAACTCATTTTTTCACCTTCTCAATCTAATTCATGTATCCACCACCCAGTATTATCAGCAAACACAGAAGAATAGGTAATTCCGTGAGCTTCATAAGTCACGGTATCCAATAAGTACGTCGTCATGTGAATCTTAAAAATACTCGTTAGCAAGTGTTGATATTAAATGAAGACTATTTTGTATCACAGAATGATTGAAGCTGAAGAACAGTATGCAGAGGTGAGCCAGAGAATCTAAATATACATTTCAGACGACAGTGTTTCGATTATTTCTTGGGTTATAGACGTCTAACACTTACCATTTATCTTTACCTGAAGGTGAGATTTAACTCAGTCGATCAAGACGTGTTGCGACAAAGTCTGGCCATGAAACGAGTGCCCAAACATTGTACTATACTAATCAAGCCAATGTGTTCGTATTCATGCAGTCGTTTAATAGTTTAATGAGAGTTTCCAACTGAAATGATGACAACCCAACAGCATGTGTGTTATGTAGAATGTGATAGTTTGAACTATTATGATTTTGTGCAGAAATTCGCATTAATAAGTCATTCAGTCAGTTAGTCATGCACAGACTATCTTTGGATTTAATAATTTTTTATCTGATGTTTGAATTTATGGAGAAATGTCTACCTTGTATTCACAAATGGAGACATAGGGTAGTTGGACTGAAGAATTTTCTGGTCTGATTAGTTTGAAATAATGTAAAAGTATAAACACAGATATTTTGTATATTTACACTAACTTTTTTTGTAAAGTAGTTTCCAATCACATTTTTTTACTTTATGTCTCTGTGTTCCGTCCAACTGTTATTCCACTGATTTAATCAATTTTATTGTAGTGCAGTTGACTAAGGAGTGCCATCATGGGTATCTGTTTTATGACAGACCAACTTTACTTGTTTCAATAAATATTGGGAAACATTTACTCAATTGATTGACCTTACCTGTTCATTTTTTTAAAGTCATACCTAACATTTAATCATATACTCTTGTAACATTTTCAGCGGGTGATATATATGTATAAATTTTGTATGGTGAGGGTGAAGGAGGGAGTTTATATACTCTTCTAGATGTTGTTGTCACATCTTGTCAAAGAATACCAAATAAAATAAAATCCAGTCCACATTATCCTTATTTATTCCCAACAATATTCTAGTACCAAACAAAGTACAACGGGATACGGAGTCTGTTAATTTCGTCATCATGTTGATACAACTGATCAACCCAGTTTTGTCAGTACTAAAGATAGCAGATTATTATTTGTTTCGGGGGTTCACTGATGGAATGTACACCCACCAAACAGGCGATCTGAGATTCGATTCTCGGCTGGCGTATTCTTAATCTTCGTCTAGTATACTGGCCAGTAGTAAGTCTGGAAAAGAGGGAAGATAGGACATGAGACTAGCAACTCTACACCGTAAAAACAAGAACACCACCACTAGTTTTGCTTTAAGCCTCAAACATGAAATCCTATGACCCACTAGGGAAGCGAAAGAAAGAAAGAAAAAGATAATTAATGAAGAGATTAAAAAATGTGGAATTTCTCACGTTAACTTTTGGAGTTCGCTAACAATATCATTAATAAATGCTGTTTTCAATTGCTTGTAAATTGACAGCAATTCACTTATGAATGGATTAATATCTTCAGCTTGTATCTATTGGAATAAAAAAGAGAAGAAAATTGAGAAAATTTCATGTTTATTTCAACAGAAACTACGAGAATAACCCATATTGCTAGTAATACTTTAGAATTTTGTTTTATTTATTTTTATTTATTTTATTATAGCTTGATTTCATACAGTATTTTGGTACAAGTATGAAATTTTCAGCGTGTGATATCGGTAGCCCAAATTTAGCAGGCCGACCATAGATATCAGGCGTGCGTCGGCGGGGAATCGAACCTCGGACCATGTGCATGATCAGCGAGAGTCCTAACCGCTGTGCTACCGACGCACAATTGCATTAACATTTCTCTTATCTTCATTGACAGCTAGTAATATTTTGGTTCTCTTTGTTCATAAAGTAGTTGTAATTAACAAATGACCAGTTTAAGTATACATCATGAGGTTAGAACAAAGCTAAGACTGGCTAAACCATTTAATGAGTTTCAGCATAGATTTTGACACCAGCCGAGATCAGTTGGAAAGTCATCAAAAGCCAGGGAGAACTAGTTGGAGGACCCTTCAGCAAAGCGTATCTACTTCCCCATCAGGAATGGAACCTAGGAAATTCATCCTCAATCACACTTGTGTAGATATATTCAATCTTTATTATCTTCGACTTTTGTTTTTCAATTCTTATTCACCTGTTTTTCAGTTATTTAGTATTCATTTTCAATTTTTTTTAATGCGTTCAAGTGGTGCAGTTCACTGGAAGATTATACAATGGTGTTTCTGTCGTGTCCATCACTTTATTCGGGTAATATATAGGTTTATCATTCAATACGTGAAGAAGATAATACGTAAGTGGAGAAACGGATTGATGGTGAGAAGAAATGTAAGTTTTCAGAAGTGTGAATGGGAAATAGATGAAAGAAGTATGCAAAAATAGTAGAAGATTAAATTCCAGTAGACGTGAATATATAAGTACTTATCTTAAGGGAAAACGGAATAGTTAGGACACTGACAAGGAGAAAAGCACAGAGCTTAGAAGATTTAGACCTGAAACTAAATGCAAATAGTTTGTTTTTAACTATTTAGCGCGTAATTTATTATTGTCGATAACGAGAAATTATGGACTAACTATCATTTTCTTTTTTGAAGTCTTGGTTACGTTAAATGCCTTTAGAATAAGCAACGGACTGAGAGGAAAAATATATTCCTTTTCAATGAGTTCCTCATCATCGGCTCTGCACTAATATATAGTTTTTCACATCAAAATTATTTTACCTATTGACTGACAGTCTTCAGAGTTCTACGAAGTATGACATAGTCTTTTTTTAAGCAATCTAGGAAAGAAAAAGAGTGAACAGTAAAGAAGAATAGGTAAGATGCACGAGTTGACAAATTGTAAGAGGAGGGTTTGAGTCATTTCTGAGTGCATTAACTTCTTAATGTAAAATGTCAGTGGAAATATTTCTTTAGAAATCGTTAAGACATGGGAAGATCAGAAGAAAGAATTAATACAAGATACTTAACTTCAGACTTGATTTCCATATCACTATCATCAATTTTGCAACGGTCATAGGAGATTCATTTAACTTTCTTTTACATCAGAAACTGAAATTAACAGTCTGAAATTTGGAAGGATTTAGTTTAAGACCATTAGACTAAGACCATTTGCTAACTCTTGATAGAAAGCTGTTCATCTTAGCACAGTTTAGCTGAGAGTTAGATTGTCCGCATACTTACTGAAGTTCATTTCATCAGAGTGAGGCAAGTCAGTCAAGAAGAAAGAAAACAGAAAAGGAGAAAGGACGGCCCCTTGAGGGACAGCAGCCTCAGTAAGCAATGACGTGAACGACTTTCCCTGACATATAGTGTACTGCTTTCTTCCTGAGAAATAAGAATGAAGTCAATTAACATTCCAACACTCAGTTTGAATTTCAGCAAGCTTGTTTAACAAAATATCCCCAGATACTAAGTCGAAAGCAGATGTGTATTCTACGAAGGTGCAGCGAACACATTTAGCCCCCTTGTCTAAACTGGAGACAATGTTATGAATCAAGAGTGCAGCTGCATCTAAAGTAATTCTACTATGTTTGTAGTCGAATTGTTTGGGATCATTATGGGCTTTAAGTGAAGGTTGAAGATTAAGTAAGAGTAACTTTTCATAGCTTTTAGAAAAGGAGATGTAATAGCAATAGGTCTCAATTTAAAGCATTTTCCAGTAGATGACTTAGGTAAAGGTACAATTTTAATGTCCTTCCAAACGGCTGGCACGACATTTCTAGAAAAAGATTCATTAAATATGTCCATGAGAGGATAACACAGAATATGTGCACATTTTTTAAGAATATTAATGGTAATATTCATAGATATCAGACAAATTAAGAAAAATAATGCAGAATTTTTGAATTTACAGGTTCCAGAGGAAGCCAAGATAGTAACAGCGGTTGAACCTGTTTCTTTTACGCACAGAGCTCCGATTGTTTTAAATGAATTCCAACAGCCTCCACTGCTTGGAGTATTCGGTGCCCAGAGGCTTTTGGCACTTTATTTGGTGCAAGATAAATGATACTAGCCTTATGGCCTGTTAGACAAGGTGGTCCAATATCGAACTGTTGATGGTTTTCCTTACACCTTATTTAGCAACGCTGGCAGGAGTTCTCGAAAATCTAAGTTCCTAGGCGATATAACTGGCTACAATGGAGCAGTTGAACTGATAGATACAAGGAAAGATAGCTAGACTAAATAATTTGTCTTTCAGTTGAGGAATCACAGCCGGTCGTGTGAGAAATAGGAGCTGCGGCTTAGCGACGTCAAAAGTTCTTTGTTTGGTTAGTTTGACTAGACACCAGAGATATGCGGTCAAATATACAGATACATATTGTTTACAAATGCAGAATGGTTCTTTTTGACTTTTTTGCCTGTGTTTCATTATCAACTTCCCTGGATAGATATTTTCAATTGAAACGTCATCTACATTTTTAAGTTCATCTTTAATTACATCTTCTGAACATACAGCTCTGGCATTGTTTCACGGAACAATGGGATTAAACACAACTAATCTAGTTAGATAAAAACAGAAGCAAATTCATTTAATATGATTAGATGAAATTCTCACATACATTATTCAGTAGTGTAATTAACACCTACTTATTTGAATAAATAACGGAATTCGTTTGAAATGCTATCTTCTAATTGATTAAAGACATTTAAGTAATTCCCAAATACCCATTTACGCATTTAGAAAGTTAATTGCATAGGTAGTGAATCCATAAAGCAAGGTAAAGACATTGGAATTCCTGTGTCTTCCCTAAAGGAACTTCTTCCAAGGTGTACAATGAAAGCATACTTCCTGTTTAATAAAGAAATGTCTAGACAGTCAGATGGTGTTGCTATGGGATCCAAGCAGATTTTTTCCTGGCGAAACTAGAGAATGGTCCTCTGAAAAATGTAATGTATAATCCCGATTTCTATTGCCCATATGTCAACGACACATTTAAAGTTGTTTAGAAAGAAAGTGAGACTAAAGACATATTGGATAAATTCAACAGAGCACATCCTGGCATAAGCTTTACTGAAGAAGAGGAAGAAAATGACTTCACCTCCTTTTTGGACGTTCTAATGACTAAACGAATAGACGAAACAATATGTAGACGTTTGCATCGGAAACCTATTCCACTGGACAATATGGTTACGAAAATGCAATAGTGGTGCATTAAGGAGTGCGATATTTGAACACCTGGTTAGCATTGTTCATTCCATTTCACCAAACGCCTCCTTCAAACTAATCTACAGAGTCAAAAATAACCTATCAAAGACAATACGGTTTCGGCTTCTTTGTATCGCTGAAGCTCTGACATTCCCATAGAAAAACCGGAGCTGTGCATACAAAAGAGGATTACTCATCCGCTTCTACAATCATGGTAACAACTTTTTTGATTTTGATGACTTAATTTTGTTTCTTTGCCTGTAATTTAATTCCTTATTATTCTTGTATTCATTTAGAACTCTCACGTAATTTCGTATTATCTGCTTTGTTCCTATGTGCATCCTGAGGAAAACTCATTCATCAAACTATTCATATTATTACATAACTTCTTTTAACAACTGTTTGTGACAGCTCATCACCTTTGTTACTTCTCTAATTTCATTAACGCCTAATTTTCTTGACTGATTTTGTATTACGTAACACCAATTACCTATCTTCACGTGTTTAGTTAACATAACCATAATCAATTGTATTTTTGTTTGACAAACTTAATGTACACTTACATACAAAATAACACATAGATATTTGCGACTGTACAACTAAGAATATGAATTCGTCGAAAAAGGGACTCTTCGCTGATCTACGTGTTTTGTTTTCGTAACTGTAAATTTTGCCTTTCCCCTGACTATACTATATTAGGAGAACATTAGATTCAATACTCTCTAACATGCTAAAATTTTCAAACTGTATTGGCAATACTGTTTGAAACAAGCTCACTGTGATTATTATTATTATTATCATATTTACTATACTCATTTTGTACTTCGAATATTTTTGACTTCATACCTTAAATGTGAATAAATTCCTCTGGTTAATTTTGTTTTAATTTTATTTATATTTTTAGTAAATCAGGTGCAATATTGTGACAAATCCTGAGGATTCCATTCTGAATTATAAGGACTGTTTTTGCAATAAAATAGATTATTATTTTTAATAGATGCTGTTGATCTGAATGATTCGAAGTCAATTAAGACAATAATGTTGTTAATAACAATAACTATCAACTATTATAGACGTACAACTAACTGTAGAACCTGAATAAAATGTTGTCAAAAGGAATATTCCTTGCTCACTAATTATTCTTTTAGAGTTTTTAGCATGAATCTTTAGTAAATTCAAACATCTTTTTGTGTCACAACGTTTTTAAAGGAATGTACATTTCAGAAAGTAAATTTAACTTACATAGATAAGTAGAATAGATTTTTATGATCATTCGGTTGGGATAAAGTACAGCTGTTTTGAGTGGATAGAAATGATGACCAGTCAACAAATCGGTTACAGTCCTACAGGAAGTCAATTATGAACCCGATTAGCTCAGCGGTAACTTTTCTGACTGCAGCTCTGGGTGACGCGGGTTCGAATCTCACAGGGGATATGATTTTCTTCCAGCCTGCAGATACTAGTGTCAACAAGCACGAAACCTAAATTTAGTGATTCATGCCGACTGCCTACAACTATCGAACAGTCATTTTTGTCTGTGAATAAAATTTCTTATATCCGTCTTCCACTAATTAAAATGTTTGGTTGTTTTGCAGATTATTAATATAAAACAGTAGAGAAAATAACGCTGGAATGTGTTGTATTTTGTAAAGTGAACTATTTTAACCAATCTTAGAAGTAAGTGCACATTAGTATTTCTTAATAAAGTTTATTTAAACGCACAAAAAGCCGCTTATTGCTTCTGATAATTCAGTCGTTGTCAGAATGCAGTATCAGAATGATGCTTATGAATAAACTCAGAGGTTTTCCTCAAGGCAGTCAGTTAATCACTATCAATCAGCTTTGCAAATTTGAGTCCAGTCAATGACAACTGCACAGTACATTCAATATTTTAAAAAGCTGAAGTCTTGTATATCATTTTACTCAGGTAGAATAATTTAAGCAGTTAACAGACATTACTTAACATTAGTGAGGAAAATATCTACAGATTGTAGTCAAAATCACAGTTAATGGAAAACACAATTACTTACATCTTCAAATAATTTATTAAAATCAATCATATCCTGTGTGCTGACTTGATTCTCATTAGGTTCACTTCCTCCTTTCATATTTAGATTTGACAGTGATGGTAATTCAACTGATATGGAGGATGAGGACATGTTAGATGGTTCTTTAATTCGTAAACTTGCATAATCTGAAGCTGTTTGAATTAGTGTATCTAATCTGTTCAGATTTTTTTGACCAAATATATCCAGCAAGGCTTCATTGAGTGTTTGTTTTAAAATTAGTTTCTTTCTCTCATGAATACCTTCTGTGTTCAGTGGAAAAACTAGTAAGTGAAAAAATAATTTTCAGGTGCTAGTTTACAGGAATTTGATTCCATTTCAAGATTGTTCACGGACTGGCTTGAGTTACAGAACCAAAAACTAATGCTGAAAAAATTAATCTAATGCTTACTAGTGTCTGACTACAGGATGAAGTTTCCTGAAGTTACAGTAGGAAGTCTTAGGCAGGGGGGGTCTACTCAGGTGGGTGTGAGCACAAGGACTCTCTGATGACATTTGCTGGCGGTTGCGATATATGTCACTGATTGGCATAAGTTAGAATTCATGGGCCACTGGATTCGGTGCCACTGGCTGGATGGTCAACAAGCTCGTCTTTCATGCTAAAGGTCCTGGGTTCGACCCTAGATGGATGGAACCATGCTTGCATACTGCCGAAGAGTTCCAAAGTCGGACTGAATGGCTGTGCAGTATTCACTAGTTTTCATTGGTTCCCTAACTGAAGTCAGTTCGTGATCAGTCTTGAAAAAGCAATTACTCCATTTCCTTTCATTTATCATCACTTACTCGTACTACTGTTATTATTATTGTTATTGTTTGAGTCAATAAATATTAGAATTCGTTCTTCAATTGATTTGATCCATGATTCAAAATGCCAGTGACACTCTTCATCCATCTATAAATAATTGAACAAATAACTTATATGATTCAATGACTGCATAAGAATAACTAAGGAGCAAACAAAACTGGGATTATTTTAGTTCAGTCAGGAGAGTATCAGTCTAGTAAGTGAGCTGTAGAGTATTAATTCCATTTCTACTCATCTCAGAATTTTTGTGCGCATCTTTAGTAAATAGTCTGCTTAACTTAAGACAAGAAAACAAATATTCACCGATTAAATCTGCCAGGACCTTGTAAAGAAGTATATTGGTTCAATGTTCCACACGTGTAGAAGAAGATTATAAGTACAATAGGCACGGATATATTTAGAATTTCTTAGATGATAAACGGTGAATACATATTTGTCACTGTGGACAATTTTGGAATCTGTGAGTGACTGACTTCAATAGTTGATTCCTAGCATCCTGAAGAATCTGGTTAGGCCAACGATAAGGTGACCAGCCCTAACGTCTAACCGAGTAGATTTAAATTTGTCCAACAGTACCTTGAGGTGCTCAACAAGATTATAGACAATTCAGTCAATTAAGATTCTCACCGCTTTATAGATTGACTGCACCCTTTACCTAATATTTTACATTCATCTTATTTCCCATCTAATTTTATTTGATCAATAACACTCATATTGATTTTTATTCAAATATCTAGTCAATTCCATACATATATATAAAAGAAGGAAAAAGTTGTGTGAGTAACTTGATATGATTATGAGCAATAATTTGTGCTCGAAACGTCATCAGTTAATATTACTGTGTAACACTGTGTGATTTATCGAAATAAAATCTTATCCATAATGGAGTTACACTCTACCACAGTGCCCAAGTTTTATACTTATAGCACTAATGACTTCATAATTCCATCATAACCAAGTAGCTTTACAAGACTTCTATAGATATAATCATATAGTTTTTTGTCATTTGTTTTCACACATAATTTTCACCCATGTAAAGTAGGACAAAGTGGACTGTTGGTCAGCAAGTTTGCTTTCTGATCAGTAACCGAACAACTTCCAGACGCCAAATAAAATTCCAGCTGGAAAATGTTTGTTGGTATGGTATAGTTAACAAAGATAACCGACGAGTGATTGTGGAACTTCTCAAGTAGCTACAACAGTGCACACAATCAGTCACTTCAGTCCGTAACTTCAAAGCTGGGTGCTGTATAGACTAGTTCTATACCATTACCCTATACATATTAAACACGGACAAATGACTACTGAGTGGATTCCGAAAACTGTGGATACTGCCTTTTCTTCAACTTATTTAGAAAAAATCTATAGAGTCTGAATGTACTAACACTTGTAAGTCACATTATGTTGCAAATTGGATGAAATTAGGGTGTCTGCCAACGCATCGAAATCAAAATCCAATATTCGAAGTTTAAGTAATCTGATATTAATGCAATAAACTCTGTTATATGCATTTTTAAACACTTTTAAACTAGCATTACTGTTCTGTTGTTAATAAATTCCCAGGCAGCTTGATTTCCTTCAAATTACTTAACTCCTTGAAATATTGTTTTGAGTAATTCATAACAAAATCTATTCGTAACTTTGTCTTACCACATCTTGTAGATAGTGAACACAAAGTTGATGTTAATATAGCATTCATAATTATTTATCGCATTCCTTCTAATATTAATTTTGCTTTACGAGTTCCTCTTCTACATACAGCTGACGCAATAGAAATCAACCTGAAGAAGCCAAACCTGTGTGTTCAGAAGAAATTTGTACAGCCACTTTCCTTACCTTGGTCATCGTTACATTAATGTATAAACAGGACTAAATTTTAAATTATAATAGTCCAAATTAATTTATTATTTCTCTATTAACTTCATCTTTAATTACATGTTATCAGTGTTGTAGTCATTTCTACCCCTTAATAATTTGAATTATCTATCTTGGTTATTATAAAACCCCGTGACATGTTGATATTGATTAATTATTGTTAACAAGCATATCGACAAGTGATTGGTGAATTGTTGTGTATTGTAATAAAAATGCTATGGATATATATTAGAGTAGAGCCAGAGATGAGGATCTTATTGAAAAGTAAATATTTCTTTCGCGCATTGTCTAAATGCGGATTTTATTTTATTTTAATTCATAACTGTTGTCCCTTAGACTGCATGGGATAGTTCTAACTTGGTAGATTAACTTATTATTATATATTAATGATCAAATTAGGCATATTAAAGAGAAAGGAACAAAAAGTTTAACGAAGATATCTTTTGGCAGTTCGAAAGCATCTCAATTGACTCATCATTAAGAGTTATTTTACAAGGAGTGATTCGACTGGGAATCGAACCCCGAGATATATGTGTGGTTGGTGAGTACTCAGCCAGTGAACCAATGAAGCGCCACCTATAGCATTGAAGACAGACAATTCAAGTATTCATTAACTAATCCGTATATTATTATTCTCTTACCTTATTGTCAATTATTTTTTTCAATTCAATTAATTTATAATAATGTTTTTCTTTCACTAACATACTGTAAAATGTATGCGCCCATTCAATACGAATTTGTTCAATACCATAGATTTGTTTAAAGAAATGATTTAGGAATTCATCGAATGATTTATATAAATCACGGTATTGTTTATGATGACTACTAGGTGATTTCGTTTGTGTACCAGCTGGTGGATGTGACCTCGTCTGAATGTATTTTTTTCAAGATGGTGGATCATCAGTGGAGTAGGAATGTGGAAAAAGAAAATTAGAGTGAATGATTTCATCATCGAATAAATAAATAATTATAGTAAATGATTAAGATACCACAAATTTAATAATATCAGTTTCACATATGAAGAAATTTTCCCCAATTTTAAAGAGATTTTAGAATTTCTAGCCTTTCTCTCTCTTACATTTTAGTATCACAACGCTGATGACACAAAACTGATTTTTACAAGACCAAAAACACCCACTAAATCATGTAGAAAATAAAAAAACGACTAGTCAACAAAGAACACTTTCTTTATCTACAAAGTCATCATCATCTGTACAAATGTATTTATATTCGCCAAATACATATATTAGTCGCTAGTGACTATTGGGAGGGTGACATAATTGATATGATTACTTACAAGTGTTTTCGTAAGATAAAACTTTTCTTAGTAGACAATGAAACAATATAAGTGAAAATTGTTATTCAATAAGAAGTAAGGTAGTTGAGTGCCCAAATGATAAGTGCGAAGATGGTGAGGGAAAAAACTTGGTGAAATGTACTAAAGAAACATGTAAGAGTGATAATAGTGAATTCAATACTAAAACTAGAAGCGAACAAATAGGAAAGAGGTCGAATAAGAGACTAAAAAGACCTTTTCTGCGCACAAGCCTCGAGGTTATACTGACGAAAACATAGCGTCTCCGATAAAACCAAGTACCGCGTGTACCATTCGATCTAACCTTGCAGATAACAGAGGACTGTCGTAAGGCTGAGTGGTGTTAGTCCATCAGTTGCTCGAGAAATGATCTTCCATTGTTCTCTTCATAACTGTGCTGGATAGTGTTCAGGGATGCCTTTAGAAGTAAATTTTTGTGCATATAGATCTTCTCTAGGAATTAGAATTCATATCAGAGGTTTGTGATAGTATGATAAAGTAGGAAGAAGACCCTTACACTCTGATGTGAAGTAAACTGAAACATCCAGATTCAGAGTCTCTTACTGCAATTCAAGGAAATCTGAAATTCAAATTTCCAGGTGGTATGAGTTTCATTGCATATTCGAAAAAACTTTACTCTCAATGATTATTCATGGCGAGGAAGCTAAGATGAATTAGGATTTCAAAGTTGAAATTTGCATATCAATTCGCTGTTTGCAAATTTTACGGTTCGAGGTAAAATTCCACCACAGTTTCCTTTGAAAATCGAAATTACTCAGATCAGAATATGTGGTTTGCTTTATACCCTAAACGACAATCAAGAAACCGAGTATAAATGCATGACGCAATATATTACTGATTGACTGTAATGAGTAGTTGGGTACTATTCACAACAAATAGCAGTGCTTGTCAGCTAGATCAAAGTAATTTAAAGATTGGCCTGCAGTTTCGCTCGTGTGGACGGAGTAAACCAGATGTAAAGTCCTGGGTTCAAACTCTGGTGGGTGTGTACTGATGGAGATTCCCAAAAAGGGGACGAGACCGCCATCTAGCACTCCCCGGTTTTCAGTGGTTCTCTAACTGGCATCAATCTGTGACTAAAATCGAATCAAATCAAGTCTCTGCAAACTAACTCTTGAATAACTATTCTATTTTATTCTAATGCTGAGAGGAGGAAACTATACACTGCGAAACCCTGTACTCATATTTTATCCTATTTCGAAACCGTCCAATGTTATTTATTTATGACCTTGCCAGGCATCAAGGCCAGGTTCAAAAGCTTACATGTTACTGATCAGCAGCTTGGTGGCAGTTCAATGACCTATGATATCTAATTTCAGTTTCTAACGAGGTCGCTGGTGCTGAAGAGTTACAAATTTAGCAAGCACTTGAAGGGGAAAGTCTTCACTTCACTGTTCTTCGATACAAAAAAGTCAACTGTAGAACCTGTGTGGTAGAATTCAGTAGTCAACACCTACACGTTTTTGACTATATGATATAAAAGAAGAAAATGGATCTTATCAAGTTTAATGAAACTATTGGTCGGTATTCACAATTCAGAACGTTACACAATTAAATTAAAACAGGTACAGAACAAATGATGACTATAACAGCACAACCCAAGTGGATAATTATGTGCACATAGATATCAGTGTATTATCTACAATCATAGTTCAGAAAAAATCGTAAACATTTATCTGAGGTTTACATAATTAAGTAATAAAATTTTTAAGCGAGGATATCTGTGTCTCATTACTAAGTTTGATGATATAACTACTAATCAAGAAGTGTAGCATATTGACAAGCTAAATGAATATTTGTTCTGCAGTGATTTGTAGTTAGATTTGAGTGTCTGGTTTGAAAGAATCAGACTTGTAGATGAGGTTAAGTGTCTCCAATAGAAAAAATATAAATGTTACTCAATAAATTGCCACTCAATCGAGTTGAATCAATAGGCCATTTTTCAAATTTAATCACGAAATCACTTCAGTTAAAGAACCACTGAAAACCGCGGAATATTGGACAGTTATTTTAACCTAGTTTGGAACGATTCATCAGTGAGTTGCCATCATTTAATGCGTTAAAAGTCTAACCCAGGACATACAGTTTATGAGGCCAACTCTTTGGCCATAGAGCCAGGGGGACGGCGTTCAATGGCCTACAAATTCTAATTTATATCAATTTGCGACATACAGCACGTACGCTGGCCAATGTCATCAGCGAGTATTTGTGCTCACACCCAACTCGCTGGACCCCACTGGTAATGATAAACTTCAAATCATTTTTAGTGTCAAATGTTATTGAGATACTCACGATACATTATCAAGATTTGACAAGAAATATGACAAGCTGATTTTTTACCTTTCTGTATATAGTTCTACATGCCTGTCCTTACAGTTTGGATAATAATTTCGTAATGACTCACTTTTGAAGGAAAGCGTCTGTTACGACCACAAAATCAATTCAAAAACAAATTAGGTGATGTAACATTATGATTTTAAAAGAATCAGTGAAGGAAACTCTGAAGTTCTTTCTGGTAAATATATGACATGACAGTAGTTAAAACTTCCATTCACTTTCAAAGTTTTTAATTATTAAATTACTAAATGATTCCCTGACACATGATAAATTGTGATACAGTTTTGATGGACTGTAATTTAAACATTGTACTTATCATCAATCATAATGAAGTTCAAGATCACAAATATTAGTAAACCGAAGTTTTCAAAAAGACATGATATTATTAATGATAATGTGAGGCAGTGCATCTAACTCATAGAGAAAGAATTAATCACAGCTAAAATCAATAAAAACAAAATACTATACAGAAAGTAAAATGAAGTGATTTAGAAATAAGATACGTGTATATACTTTGTATAGTATACTTGTGATGGTATAAGGATAAGTGTACTGTATTTTGTTTCTGATTGACTCACTATAATACCAAATGAAGAAATGCTTATAAAGTCATGAGGCGAACATTAGTTTCTTTCCAATACTACAAATAAGCCAGGCTAACATGCTTGTTAGCTGATGATGAATCTACGTCAAACTGGGAGTTTCTGTGTATTCATCTCTTCTAACAGAGTTATTATTGCAGATATTGCCATGATATGCATTTTTAAATATCTGATTATTAATTTACGTATATATGAATCCATTCTACAAGAGTTTGTTGCTAATATGAATAATTTTATAGTTTTGCATCTTATTCTAGTACTGGGTAGTATGTTTTTGAATGTGCAAGCAAGTTTTTCCTTTTTTGTAGTTAAAGTTGAATACTGACATGAAGGAAAGGGAATCAGGCTGGAAATTTCTCTTGAGTTTTAACATTAGAATCACATGTACTGTTTTTATGATTATTCCCAAGGGTTCTGGGCGGAACATAGGGCTTCAGCAACACATCTCCATTTCATCTTATTCTCTGTACTCCTTTTAGCTGGCTCCATGACTGTCGAAAAGCTTTCCTTTCCTCCTCACACGATACTTTCCATGTTACGCTTGAACTGACGCCTAACTTGTCATTGCCCATTCGGGCTATCCGCCGTGAATGGTGTCATTCAACGATCTCCTTAGCATGTGATCAACCCATCTCCTTCTTTTGACATATCTGCTGGGTGATAGGTTCTCACTAGGTTGGCTTATTACTTGTCAGAGTTCCTTGTTGCTCATCCTTTTTGGTCGACCGCCTAATCCTGAGTATGGAGCGAAGATAGCTGTTGTTGAAAGTTTACAGATGCCTGTTGGTAATGCCTTTGGGTATACGTACGACAAGTCTCTGAGTCATATAGAAGCACTGACTCGACATTAGTGTTAGACATTCTGATTTCGCTCTGTGTGTTGAGTTTTGCAGATCTCCACACTGATTTCAGAGTAACGAACGTCTACCTGTCTTGCCTTTCCTATCGTGGCTACCTTTGGCATCCTCATCCATGACGTCCATGGTTGAAAAGTTGCTGCCCAAATAAGTGAAGGAAGGGACCTAGTTCAAATTTCTCCCATTGACAGTGATTCGTACTTGTTGTTGTTAATTAGGTATCTTCGTCTTCGCTGTTTTCTCTATGCTCACGTGAAGTCTTGTCTTCGCTGCCTGAGTCTCATACCAACTTGTTGGTTTTTCTCAGTATTCATAGTCAACAACTAGAGTTAACCGCAAAATTTGTTTAATAATGGTACTATCTGTGATAAACAGTGAACCCACAGTTTTAGAGATATGTGAGAACACTTTGGGGAATTGATACCAACACAAGTTTCTTGCTGTAAATATTGACCGAAACCTGACAGTCAGGTGGGATATAATTCTGATGCAATGTAGAGCTTCACACGGAAGTCGAGCAGGCCAAGAGTTATACTCCCAGAAGAAATAAAAAAGTAGAAGGAAAGATATTTCATGCCACCATAATGAATAAACCTGAGCGACGAACTCCCAAACCTTGCTTAGCTGGTAATAACCCCGGCAAAGAGGGAAAATTCGGTGTGAGACTGGTAATCCCAATCCATAAAAATAAAACTACTGCTACCGAAACATCAAAGCTCTAGCTTGAAGCCCTATGT